GGGGAGCTGGAGGGTTTTGATCATCTGAGAAGAAAACACACATTGGGAACACATGAATTACATAGATACCTTCAACTAAGGGACTTTTACAGAATAATCTGATGGCTGCCTAGCTGGTGCGGAGGTGAAACGGGAACGGGTAGCGCAGTGGGTTGTGTGTTGGTGTTTGGATCATGGGGGCACAGGTTCAAACCCCACTGCAGTCAGCATGTCGTTGTGTCCCTGAGACACTTCACCCCAAATTGCTCCTGTGGGGATTGTCCACAGCAGCGCCATATAGACTGAGAGTTATGTCATCTCCGTTCACTCCAATGGACCACTTTTTTACAGCAATGGCGGATCGTGGAGCCTCTCAATCGTTCCCCGGAAGTTAGTGCCAAGGCTAGCAGAGCTATAGAGTTGCAGCATAATAGACCGTTCGTGACGGACTTTTAAAGGTAAGAAGAAGTTTAAAGATTTATATTGCGGATTGTATCAGTCCATCTGATTCAAATTAACATGTGTATTAAAGGATGTCAGTGGATTATCCCTAAATTAGTAGATTTAGGGAACGTTTACAGATAACAGATTAAGCTAGGATAACGAAGCAAGTTAGCAACAGACGTTGAACAGCCTTTTAATTGTAAATTCCGTTCTCTTAATGTCTATCTGGTCCAACGTTGTTGAATTAGAGAAGAGGGGCTTCTAAACGGGATTGTATGCGGGGATGGAGGGAGTTAAATATTAGATAAATATAACTTTGGTGCGTGTAAGAGTGAGTGTTTTTAGCAGAGCCATATTGTGTCCTTGTGATTATGTTGATTATTACCTGTCTGTATAATGTTGCAGCTCAGCTGATTTTGGATTGATGGCAAAGGGAGAGGGACTTAAGTGAGAGTGAAAACACAAGGTAAGTTTAATACTACTGTTTTATATAAGTAAACACCTTATCTCCCCAAGGCAATTTCCCATCCAATAGGTGTGCTATATAGGTGTGTATAACCTGGGGTGCACATAACTTTTTTGCCCTAGTTCTCAAAGGAGCACCTGGAGATGTTGCTTGGTGCTCATCCTTAAAAGGAAATAAACTGTAACTTTTGAGGGGGTCTTGGCTTTATTTGCCAGACACACGGCACTGAACACACATGCAGAGGTGAACACAGAACACACATGCAGAGGTGAACACAAGACAACATTAGCACGACCAGTAATCCTACAAGCTGTCATCACTAACCTCCTGACTGTTCTCCTCACTGTCTTCCTCTCTGTCAGACATGGTAGCTGATGATGTAGGCCTACTTCTTTCTCTCTGGTTGAGTCTGCGATTAGCTGCTTGCATCCACAAGTCAACAGCTGGGTTTGGGTCGAAAGTCTCTGTTGTCATCTTAGACAAGTAGATGTAATCAAATAAGTATGTGAACATAACCAATAACCTACCATAGCGAATAACAAATGAATGTAACTTATTTTATTTGTGTTGTTCATTCATATCTTATTTTACCTTAACATTTATTTATGCATTTTTTTTTTTTATCTCCAGTTTTAAAGGATATTTTTGGTTGCTGTCCTATAGTATACATTGGAATGATTTCACACCTGTTTATCCCAATAATTATAAAGGAGTGCCTTGGAAATATGTGTTTACATAAATTGTGACCAAACTGTTTGAACTTAGACTAAAGTGAACTATCTAAACACTCAAGAGTCCTTTACCTCACTGAGCTGTAGTATCAGCCTCTCAGTCTGACTGGAGAGGACTCTCCCTCCACATTATTGTAGAAACATCTTCTTATATCTGTTAGAGAAGCTAGCACCAGATTCTAATAACAACACCGGGCGGTGCGCCCTCTCTCTCTCCCTCTCTCCCTCTCTCCCTCTCTCTCTCCCTCGCTCATTCGCATTCTGGCTGTGAGCTGCGGGTGCCAGATAAGCCAACATCCCCCATTTTCATCACTTACAGCGCCCATTGTACAGGGCAAATGAAACGTGTAACCGGGGTGAAAAGGGTGTTACATTTATTTAATTATGAATATTGTTACATCAAGGCCGAAAATTAGGATGAGCACCAACGGTCAAAAATGTTTTTTTCCCTCCCAGAGCTGCCAGCGCAGCGCCTCCCCAGATCTGGCGCCCTAGGCGAACATCTATAACGCCAGTGCTACGGGCCGACCCTGAGTTCATATGCAACTCACAAATATCTTTCTCTCCTCTCTCCTCTCTCCTCTCTCCTCTCTCCTCTCTCTCCTCTCTCCTCTCTCCTCTCTCCTCTCTCCTCTCTCCTCTCTCTCCCTCTCCCTCTCTCAATTTTGGTACGCAAATGCGCCTTTTTTCAAATGACCCGGTGCTCTTTTTTTGGCGGAGGTGCGCATGCGCACCAGTTATGTGCAGCCCTGTGTATAACCCTTTCTCCTGTCTGTTACTCCCTCTTTCAGCACAAGAACCAGAGGGGGATTCAATGGAGCCTGAAGACCTGCACTGAGACCCTCACCCTGCACCCTGAGTCTCAACTCTCAGTGTTTTTCAAGCCTTTCCCTGTTTTTTTGTATTAAACAAAACATTAAGCTTTCCCAATGGTGTGGTTTTCGTTTTGTGAAAAAGTGCAAATGCAGTGTTTGTATATAATTAAATCACATATTTTTTTGCTGTTGGTCGTGAAATTGCTCCTGCTGACTTGAGCCAGCCATTTTTTCCTCCGCTCTGTGTCAGTGGGGAAGCCGTACATTCGTACTCCTTTCTTTGAGCGATTTGAGCATCCCCAGGCAGCACAGCAAACCATGGTGGCGACTAGGAGGCAGCACAGCAAACCATGGTGGCGACTAGGAGGCAGCACAGCAAACCATGGTGGCGACTAGGAGGCAGCACAGCAAACCATGGTGGCGACTCAGAGGCAGCACAGCAAACCATGGTGGCGACTAGGAGGCAGCACAGCAAACCAAGGTGGCGACTAGGAGGCAGCACAGCAAACCAGGACAACACGGAGGAAAAGGCACAGACAAACTGCATGATTTGCTATTCAATGTTTATTGAATTCCATGTATTTGCAATGGATGTTCCTAAAACAACACATTTAACATCATCATCATCATCATCATCATCATCATCATCATCATCATCATCATCATCATCATGCTGCTGCTGCTGCTGCTAGTCCTTTGATAGTCGCCTGTCCTTTCTGAAAGCCATAAAGATGAGATTAGTCATTTAGATAACTTGTGTCCTCAGTTACCATGGGATTACTGAAACTACCATGAATTTAAGAAAATGGTAGACATTAATCTAATCTGAATTTTAAAGCATTACTTTAGATCCCCTCCCTCTAAATATATCAATACACATTAGAAAGTGATGCTCCTGACTACCATACAAGTTTAAGAAGATACTATTGGTTTTAAAGAATTCAAAGCTATAAATAAACAGCAACAGGCTCTTTAACCAAGGCACTGTTAGCCTAACATGTAAACTAGTTGTTCACACTAATCCTAATATTATCACTTAATATTAGCAAATTCTATTTTATTTTTAAAAACATATTGATGTAAATACATACACATATTGATTTGTTGTATAAATATTGCAAATCAAAACCTTTATTCACTAATAATTACCAAAAATCGTAGTTCTATCTCCTGTTATCAATGCATTCACATTGTCTGCCATGAACTTCCGGGGAACGATCCTCGTCTACATGAACCACGTGACGATAACCGTTTTTGGACTTCCGTTGTCGTAACTCTTCTATCTATATGGCGCATGGATATGGCGCTACCCCCGGCTAATATGCCTGTCACTGTCACTGTCACTACCCGATCTGCAGCTCTGCCCGATCTGCAGTGCGCATGTGCGAGTTGCCATATTGGACAACGCCGGACGGCAACACAAGTAGGACAACATTGACACAGTGGCTTTTGGCAAAGCTCAAAAGGAAAACTCGAGAGAGACGAGTTATTGTTATTACAACGTGACTTCACTATTATTTAACAACCCTTTTTATTGAGGGCAGAGCTGCAGATCGGGTAGTGACAGTCACTACCCGATCTGCAGCTCTGCCCGATCTGCAGTGCGCATGTGCGAGATGGTCCACCATATTCAATTCAATTCAATTCAAAACCTTTATTTATCCAGGTAAAATCCCATTGAGATCAATGATCTCTTTTTCAAGGGAGACCTGCAGCAGTAGGTTCTACAAGAAGACATAAACAACAGAACAACAAAAGGACATCATACAGCAAAATGTACAGGGATTACAATTTACATATTTAACCACAAGTACAGGTACCAACAGCATCTGATTTTGTAGCATCCAACCGAGCTTTAAAAACATGTAGTGGTACTAGCTTGGTAATTTTCCATTCTTTTTGCAGACTGTTCCATGTTAGTGGAGCTGCACATCTAAAAGCTTTCTTCCCTAAGACAGTCCTAGCACTTGGCACATTTAATAAAACCACAGCATGCGATCTCAGGCAATAAGTACTTTCAATTCGCAGAGAGATCAGGGAGCAGATATAAGATGGTAGTTTATCCATATTGGACAACTCCGGACGGCAACCCAAGATGGACAATTGACACAGTGGCTTTTAGCAAAGCTCAAAAATAAAACGAGAGAGAGATGAGTTATTGTTATTACAACGTGACTTCACTATTATTTAAAAACTATTTTTATTGGGTTCTTTTATTTGGGGTTAAGTACATTGTCAGAATAAGTGAGAAATGGATTTAACTTCTGTTATACAGCTATCATACTGAATACATATTTACTGTGAATGTGTGCAAAAATGTATGGCATATGGCTGTCTAACAGAAGTTACATTAATTTCTCACTTATTCTTACAATGTACTTAACCCCAAATAAAAGAACCCAATAAAAAGAGTTGTTAAATAATAGTGAAGTCACGTTGTAATAACAATAACTCATCTCTCTCGAGGTTTCCTTTTGAGCTTTGCCAAAAGCCACTGTGTCAATATTGTCCTACTTGGGTTGCCGTCCGGAGTTGTCCAATATGGCGGACCATTTCGCACTGCAGATCGGGCAGAGCTGCAGATCGGGTAGTGACAGATATAATTAATAATTCCTTACATTTATTATAGCGCTTTAAATATAGATATAAACACTAGATGGCTCATGGGAGATTTTCCAGCGTAGCTCACCGGCCGCCATCTTGCTACAGTCAACAGCTACTCTGGTACGCGCTATGATAGCTTCTTCTTATCGTGTCCACAAGGCAGTCAGTTACAGGGCTTGGTTAGATGTGGTTCAGCCACAGCTGAACACATTGTTGTCCCTTCTCATTAAACTCTGCCAAGCTATGATAGCTGTTGTAAGGTGAGTGATCTGCACAAAAATACTCTTAAATCGCTAAAATCTTGACTGATTTACAAACGGTTTTGTTTATTATAAACGTTATTAGCATGGCTATGATACAGGATGCTTGGACATGTTGAAATTGCAGCTTTTCTTTGTGTATGACATGGTTGTATTTATTAGCTGGCTAATAACAAGAGGCTGTGAGTGAGACTTAGTATTACAAAGTTGACCCAGCAACTTTACACCAGTGGGAGAGGCAGAACTTCTCTTTCTTTTCAACATAATTTAAGTTACACATGATTTCTTCCAAGTGGTTTGGCTTGTTAAAAACATCTTGCATTATCATACAGGAAATTGCTGGCTTTGTGTTTACAGAAGTACCTGACTCTGCCGGACTTTTGTGCAGCCTACGGCTGCTCTAATCGCCGCAGTCTGCAAACAATAACCCGTGGGATCACCTTTCACGTGTAAGATATGACAATATTATGACTATAATTAGGATAATCGTTAATTACTTAGTGGATGTATGTACATTACAAGTCCTGCTACACAGGATCAGTGGGGCTATGTGAGATAATAGTATTGCAAGATTGATGTTGACCCAGCCTCTTTAGAATATGTTGCTACCATTTCTTTACACAATTATGTAATGTTTCTTTTGGACACCTTTTTTATTACTCTTAGTGTGGTTATCTTATTCTTAAAGTATACATACATACATTACATACATACATACATACAATTACCCCAAAAATAATTTATATATCTGGCTACCTTTCTCATGTTTTTAAGGTTTCCCAAAACCGAAGAGAGGAGGCGGCAGTGGGAAGTTGCCCTAAGAAGGGACGGTTTTGTTTCCTCTGGCAGGACGCTGCTCTGCAGTGAGCACTTCAGGAGTGAGGACTTTGACAGGACGGGGCAGACTGTCCGGCTTAAAGATGGTTTTGTGCCAACAGTATTCAATTTCCCAGCTCATCTTCAAAGGGTATGTGTATCATTGGCCAACAAGAATTCAAGGTGTATAAGATTGATTGATAAATATGTGATTAAATGTCACACTTTAGTTTTTCTTTCTGCAAGTTTAGGAATAAATAATGTGTTGTGTATTACAGCACATTTTAAACACTCAAAATGTCTTTAATTATGTTTATTTTAGCCGGAAGCAACAAGAAGCACAACCACTTCAAGAAGAGCGGAAGATGAACCTCAGCCTAATGTTGTGAGTATTCTGAATGTGGCCAAGACCAGAGAGATGGTCATTTGATTTCAGGAGGGTGAGGACGTCTATTCTACCCCTGTGCATTCTGGGAGAGGATGTGGCTGTTGTGGAGGACTACAAATACCTGGGAGTGCACTTAGACAACGGACTGAACTGGAGGATCAACACTGATGCTGTGCACAAGAAGGGGATGAGCAGACTCTATTTTCTGAGGAAGCTGAGATACTTCCACGTGTGTAGCAAGATGCTGGAGATCTTCTAGTCTGTTGTGGCCAGTGCACTCTTCTTTGCTCCGGTCTGCTGGGGGGGCAACATAAGAGCCGGTGACACCAGTAGGATCAATAAACTGATTAGGAAAGCTGGGTCTGTCATCGGCATCAAGCTGGACCCCTTTGAAGCTGTGGTGGAGAGGAGGACACTGAACAGGCTGTTGTCCATCATGGATAACCCCACCCATCCTCTCCACCTGCAGCTGGACAGTCAACGGAGCTCCTTCTCCAACAGACTGCTGCAGCTCCGCAGTGCCATAACTCAACAAATCACCTCTGGCTGGAAGATAACTCTCTGCTCCATAGTTTCTCTTGAATATAACCACGTTGTACATTTTACACATATATAATCTATTTAATATTTAACATTAATATTCCATATGCCTTATATTTATGTATATTATATATATAATATCCTGCCAAACTCAACATGTATATTTTCCTCTTTCTTTATTTTCTTTATTTGTCTTGCTTATTTCCAATTCATTGTAAAATGCCTTGTCCCTTATGCTGCTGTACCTAAAAATGTTTTCCCAAATTGGGATCAATAAAGTACCATCTTATCTTGTTTTATTTGCATGTGGAATGTCACTAACAAATGAGAGCATCATATGGCTTGTCATATTAAATCCTTTATCTCGGTGGTACCCAGGAAGGTCTATGATGGTGTTACTAGGAGAGCCCAATATAATTTGAGGTGGTACTCTGTGTAAAAGGTTTGAGAACCACTGGCCATCTCACTTGCTCTATGTCACTCATACACTTGAATAAACATGTGCAAACATTGAAACTACACCCAGGGATTGGCAACCTTTACAATCAAAATAGCCATTTTTGTCCAGAGCCTCAAAACATATTTGTGTCTTATAAGGGGAAAAGCCTATTAAGATCAATTTCTTAAAAGTACGCTGAGTTGTGTTTTCTGTTGGAGAATGTAAAACAAATCAGGCTCACAGTATTGATAAGTGAACATTGAATTGTTAAAAAAGTCACTTATTAATTTCCATATTACTATTATTTATATATTCGTATTATTGTGATAAATGAGACAGAACTGGCCTGTCTGTGAGCTCATTTTATGTTGGTTTGGTTCTTCTGATAAAGGTGTGAATATCTAAATAATATACCACCATATGCTATTGTCATTAGTTGTGTCTCTATTCTTCAAGCTAAGGCATTGCTAAATTAACAACTCTTGGCTTACAGAGTGGTAACATGAGACCGATTTTTATATATAAAATATAAATATATTTTAATTTTATAATTTATTTTAAATATTAATAATATAATAAAAATAAATGGAAATATATACACCGGCAAATATTTAATATAAATACCTTGTGTGTGTGTATAGCTATTGCTTTATCTGCGTAATGTTATTTTCATAAGAAAGTCCATGACTATAAGTATACAGTATCATAACTACATCTTTGATGTTTATAAAAAATCAAACCGTTTGAAAATTGGTTGAAAATTGAGCAAGCTATGGTTATTTAAATAGTAAACCACAATGTTATGAATGAGAGCGCTATCTGTAGCAAGATGGCGGCCATGTGGCAACGTCGGTCTCCATTGGCCAGCAACGCGGGTGAGTCATCTAGTGTTTATATATATCTATGGTGACAATGCTAACGGAGACCCTGAAACACAACTTCCGGCGCTGGCCTTCACAATAAAACCAATGGTTTTCACTCTTCTTACAAATGTGACTTATAGGAAGAAGGGAAATACTAAGAATATAAATAAAGGTGTTTCAGGAGAAATAAACAGGTTTCTCTCCGCAGCTCCATGTCTGTGTATCTTAAAGGTTTAGGTATTGTCTAAGGGGAAATCATAGCCGCTTTTATTTTGAAGTCCTTTGCACCGGAAGTGATGGTCCCGCTCGTTCTAACGGAAAGAACCAGATCGTGTCTCGTGGGTTCTCTCTCTACATCCATGGTTCTCTCTCGGTGTTCCTGAGGAAGTGTGTGTGTGAGCAGCTGATCCATCCATCGTCTGTGTGTCTGGATGAACCTCTGACTTTGTGCTCTTTCTTCTGAAGCCTTTAGCTCGGACTCTAGAAGCTAGCTTAGCATGCTAGCTTAGCATGCTAGCTGGTAACACGCTAGCAACACAGAGTGAGAGAAACGGGAAGTGGTGATTTAGTAAACATGAGTGTTGTGCTGCTCTCGTTGGTGAAGCAGCGACTCACTGCAGCTGCTGAAGACATCTTTGTTCTGTTTGAAAGAACGATAGCAGAGTACGAGGAGGAACTGTCTCGTTCAAAACAGGAGAACGAGAGACACCGGAAACTACTGGACGCTGTTGTACAGCCTCAGCTTCAGATCCACAGAGCAGGTCTGTTCCCTCTTTATTAACTCTCTCTTTATTAGACTCTTTAGACTCTGTTATCACTTTAGATTTTTTATTAAATCTCTCTTTATTGTTCTTCTTCGGTTGGCAACCAACAAATGGGTGCATTACCGCCACCTACTGGACAGGAGTGTGGAGCAGTTTTAATAGTAATTAAAATAATCCTAAATTCTTTCTCTAATTCCAGTCGTTTTTAAGAATGTTTTCAGCCGTTTAAAGACTTCCTCTGATGTCCCCACAGTAAGGCTGAGTTTTCCGTTAGCTAACTTAGAGTCATTAAAAATCCTACAATGTGATTTCCTGGATTCTTTCCCCCCATTTTGTCTCTCATAGTTGAAGTGTACCTAGGATGAAAATTACAGGCATCTCTCATCTTTTTAAGTGGGAGAACTTGCACAATTGGTGGATGACTAAATACTTTTTTTGCCCCACTGTATACAAGATGTGAGAGCTGGTGTTGGTCGGTCTGGTTCCCTCAGACTGTGGCAGGCAGAGACAAACTGTCCTGCAACAATGCAGCTCTCTTTATATTCCCCCAGTACTAGTTTTAGTTTTTCATTTTTAAATATTTGATGATGTTTATGAAGTGCTGCTCTGTCTCCACAGCAGTTCCTCCACACTGTGGGCATGATAGACTAGGCAGAATTTCAGAAAATGTGCTTATTTATAGTGCTGAAGGCATTTTGTGTTTATTTATGCTATACAACATTTCTAGGGGTAATAAGGGGTGCTGAATCCAAATCTGCTGTATATGAAGCTCAAACATTTCCCAGAATGCCTCAAAATTGAGAAATCCAACATGGCCGCCACCGCCAGGCTGAAATCTATTTTAGTACATTACTTTTTGACTAAACAAGGTACAAACTAGAATTAAATGTCTTTTTATATGTTTTCACACATGGGGAATTTAACATACTGTCCTGATTTTAGATCAAATGTGAATAATCAGCTTGAAATCATACATGTATAGCGAAAAAGGTGGTCATTAGTGATAAATAAGTTGTCAGACTCAACCAGGGCTTGCTTAGAAAGTGTATTAATACAATTTTTATTTGGCTACCAAACCATAACGTAAACATGACACGATTAGGCCTACAGTGGAGCAACAGTACCGCCAACAAAACCCTATAGATGCTTTTATTTGCTCCAATACAGTAAGAACATACTGTATGGGTGGCATTGGCAACTCAATAAGAATACAAATCATACTGAAATGGTAAAAACCTCATTCAAGTATCTCATAAAACACCACCATATATCAATGATTACAAAATAATAATAATAATGTAAAAATATATTAAAACAACAAATAAACCCAAATTATAGCTCTCAGGCCATCCAGTGTTAAAGAGCAACTTCCAGGTTAAAGACACCTGTGAATAAATGTGTAGGAAAATGATGAATACACTAGATTTTCCCAAAAATATACAGAAATATACACTACAGTGACATCTGGCGTCATTTTTGTAAGAAATGTTCACTTCCGCATAAAAAAGCCTCGGCACGTGACCTCCCGCGTGTGACGTAACAAAGGGTAAACAAGGGGGAGAGCGGCCGGTGTAACGTATTAATAAACATGGATCCCAATGCTAGTTTCGACACAGAAGAAGTTGAACATGAATATTCGAATGCATATGACGGACCACAACCTTATAATTATGAGCCTGCTAGGCGTCCAAGAGACCAGGAGCAGCCAAGGATTAGAAGAGATAACGGCCATCGGAGAGAAATTGAGCTGTGGTGTGAGGAGAACCAGTGGAGAACTGGGCAGCTATCTTGGTGAGTGACCGGCGTTAGCTACAGAATGTTAGCTAACGTCACATCACAACATTGTGAAGTTAGCTATCATATATCAGGCTATAACTAAAGTAGCATTGATAATATAGTAACGTTACTGGCAGGACTGTTGATACTGATCCATAATAGAAACTAATGCGCAAGTATCAGCCGTATCTCGCGTTACCTAATGCAAATCCACACTACGTTATGTTGCTGAACCGGAGGGGAGAGAGAGAGCAGGGAAGGAGGGGGGGGGAGAGAGATGTAATACGGTTTCCTGATAAACGTTACCTAATGCAACTCCACACTACCTTCGGAGATGTACCGGAGGGGAGAGAGAGAGCAGGGAAGGGGCAGCTATCTTGGTGAGTGACCGGCGTTAGCTACAGAATGTTAGCTAACGTCACATCACAACATTGTAAAGTTAGCTATCATATATCAGGCTATAACTAAAGTAGCATTGATAATATAGTAACGTTACTGGCAGGACTGTTGATACTGATCCATAACAGAAACTAATGCGCAAGTATCAGCCTTATCTCGCGTTACCTAATGCAAATCCACACTACGTTATGGTGCTGTACCGGAGAGGAGAGAGAGAGCAGGGAACCCAGGACCGAAAGCTAGCTAGCTTTCTTTTCCTGTTAGGGAAACTGTGGACTCGATGTCCTGACAGGCTGGTATTTGTGCAACCTGCACAAACACAATACTGTACCATGATTACAAATGGTGAAATACAATGTAAAACTACCGAAAAATACCAGCTCACTAAAACACAACCGCTCAACTCAACGCAACTGCTAACTATACCCGCGGTCAGAGAGCGGAGATGTTTACCCTTTGTGATGTAATATGACGCGTTTGACGTATGACCTTAAAAAAAGCCGTTTTTAAGAGCAGATCTCAAAACTGCTCCTTTCCCTCTGAATTCCTGCCCTTATGTCTCGTAAAACATATCAAATCCTACATTCACTTTTTTAATTGTAATTTTCAAGCAAGTTTAAGCATAAATGTAGAAAAAAAAAAACCTGCAAGATGCTCTTTAAGGCAATGAAGAAGGAGTGGGCCTGTTCACACTGCCTCTGGAGTGGGCCTGTTCACACTGCCTTTATTACATCAAACCCTGGGAAATTGCCAAAAGACAGGCACTTTTAAAAAGCAGCGTCTTCTTCAGTGTTTCCTGCAGTTGCATGCCTCTATACATTCCATGCGACTCTTTCTGAATAGAATAGAATAGAATAGAATAGAAAGATTATGACCAGTACAGGTACATTGGAATACACGTTACAGATATCCTTACACTTATTGTGTTCCTTTGTTACTTTTTTTCTCAGTTATAGGTTCACAATTATTCGGTTATGGTTTCAACAATCTGTTAACAACAAACAGTCAGCAGTATGCAGTAGTGTTGCACGGTGTACCGATACTTGAAAGGTACCGCGATACCCTGCCGTTAAAAACGGTACGATTCCTCCGTTTCATTAGTATCGGTACTTTAAGAATGACGGGGGAAAGTACTCCGGTGAGAAAGCGCTGTTTTAATAAGAGCCGTGTGTGTTCAGCGCTCTGCTTCCACTCCCTGCACTGCAGCCGTGCCTGCTCTGCAGTCCCGCCCCTCTCAAGCACGCTCTAAGTCCCTCCCCTTTCTCGTGCACGCGGCCACGCGCTAGCTGCCAGAGCATGTGAGAAAACGAGAAGCATGGCTGCAAGTGGGAGTGCAACTGCCGCTGCGCCTCGGCTTGTTGACAAAAAAGACGCCATAAGCGAAATTTGGAAGTATTTGAGCTATATCTCTGACAGTGAGGGCAAGCCTACGGACACCACGAGGCCTGTCTGTGAGAAATGTTTTAGATCCCTGCAAACCAAGGGAGCCAAGTTCAACACATCAGACTTGGCTAAGCACCCGCCGACCGGAATCCAGAGCTGTTTAAAGAATTTAAAGACAGACAGGTTAGCGAATGTGATAGATAACATGCATGATAACATGCCCATGCCCTCAAATCTAAGTCAAACCAGTGTAATTTATTTTGTGACAAACGAGGCAATTAATGGCAATGATACATTTTTAGCTAACTTACCAATGTGGCTAACATCTGCAATATACATTTTGTCAATAATTATTTATATTACTGTACTATTACATGTTAATAAAATATTAAAAAAATTATATTTTATAAAACAAAAAAGTTGTTTGAGATGATGCTTAATTTGATTTAATACGAATTATTGTCCTTTATTTTGTTTATTGTTCTCATTGTTTAAAAGTTTGTGTTATGGTTCTGGTGTGAAATAAAGCACAATAATTACATTTAAGACTGTTTCCCTTTTTTTTAGAAAAGTATCGAAAAAGAATCGGAATCGCAATTCTTGACTTGGTATCGGTATCGAAACCAACATGTTGGTATCGTGACAACACTAGTATGCAGTCTGGCAGGCTGATATTCTCAACCAGTCTATCATATGTTTACGATCTTGTACACATTGATCAGCTAATCCTCTATACACATACCTGCAGCTGCAGCGTTGGCTGAGGCATCCCTTGGTACACCCACATGAAGTGAACTCCCTGCAGGCTTTAGGCATAGGTGGCAAAGACAGTAGCCGTGGCACTAACTGACCTTCCTTGTGCATCCATCCCATTTCATCCACTGGTGGAAGATCAGGATGTGGCAGGTGAGCTTGGTTCCAGATTGTCGATTGATAGTGTGAACGCATGATATGAAACTTCACTGCATCTGAGGTTGGTGGCAGAGTCTCTTGTGGACGACCTTTGCAAAACAACTTCACTCTTGCTTTGTTGCATGTATCAACCTCTGGCACACCATACATCTTACAGATACATTTCTCTGTTGATGTCACAATACCTTCTGTGAGAGGGCCCTTCCCAAGGCCAGTAAGATCTGTGTGATGTTGCTCGAACACCTGCCAGGCTGTTTTCTTTCCGTGACCGCTGAACTGAGACACACTATCACAGCCAGTGATTGACCAAATTGACCCTGTCTATGATCACTCCTCTTTTGGCAGCCATGTTTTCTTGTACCTGTTTCTATGGCCAGGCTGTGTCTCTCTCTCTCTGTGTCTCTCTCTCTCTCTCTGTCTCTCTCTCTCTCTCTCAAATTCAAAGGGGCTTTATTGGCATGAAAGTTAAATTAAACAATGTTGCCAAATCATCAAAATACAAAATAATTAACAACATTAACATACAT